AGAAAAGTTTAAAACCAGTAAATGCTTCATAAGGGCATCAATACTTTGAAATAAGGCAAATACGCCTTTCTTTTAAATCACTTATAGTTGTAACTTTCAACCCAGTTCACCTTTTAAATCAAGGTAATTTTTGATGGGATAAACATTTGTGTTGAATTGAGACCATGTCTCAATTAAATCGTAAGGATATACTCTTAAAATTTTACTTTCTATCCCCAAGCAGTAAATATTATGCAAATGCACTCAAATAATTGAAAAAGCAACTTTTAAACTCTTTTGATTAAATGTGGGATGGAACGCTTCAGTGGGAGTCCACACTTGGGAATAGGGCTTCTTACCGTGTGTATAACGTTATTCTTGCCATACTTTTTGAGTTGTATGTTAAAATGGAACCAAACTTGAGACTTGCAAACATTTGCAAGTCCGGAGCGGGATCTGTTGTACCGTGCGTAATCCCTTCAGGCCGAAGCTTGAAATGACTGCTCAACACCTGGGCAGTTTCATAGACTTTTATTTCTTTTGTTCAGCGAGGAAGAAGGGCAGTCAGGCTTTTTATTTTCCTGAGTGACATTTCTGTAACTCCTTTCTGAAGTGTGCATTTTCTGCAAGGCCGAAGTTCCGGCGCCGCATCCGCTGTTTCCATCCATGCGGGGGCAAACTCGAGCCCTCTGGGCTGTCGCTCGCTCGCTCCCTCTGTGGCAGCTCGTTCCGTGCTGGAAGCAGAGTTTATCCCCGTGAGGGATGAAGGAGCTGTTGTGGCGTTCTGGTGTGGCGGCAGGGCCCGCAGAGGGCGCGGTGTCGCTGCTGAGGGAGGCAGGAACGGAGTGAGGGAGTCTGCGGTGGCCGGAACGGCCGCTCGGCCCGGCCCAGCCTTGTCCTGCCCTGCTCGGCTCGCCCTTGTCCTGCCCTTCCCTGCCCGGCCTTGCCCGGCCCTGTTCAGCCCTGCCCTTCCCTGCCCGGCCCTGTTCAGCCCTGCCCGGCCCTGCCCAGCCCGGTTCGGCCCTGCTCAGCCCTGGCTGTCTTGACCCTTCCCTGCCCGGCCTCGCTGTGCTGGCTCCCGCTGCCCTGCGGCAGCTTTGCCAACGCGATTTCCCTTCCCTTACTACAGCCCCGCTTCTCCTTATAGCTCCACGTGGAAAACAGACCAGGAGAAGTCAGGAGTAGCATTCTTCTGTATATAAGGTGTAAAATAAAGGTGTCTCATGCAGGTATACAGATTGACCATTATTTACAATTTAATTTCCACAGCATCGAAGTCTCTGCAGATGACAGATGGTTACAGATTTTGGAAAGGGAAACTCCATACTGTGGCTATTTATGAAGCTTTTAAAAACCATTTAACTTTCCCTCTTGTGCTCCCTTTTCTGTTTCTGGATGAGTGTGTGGATGAAGGCTGTGGAAGATTAGTTTTTTGATTTCTCACACGTGCACATGCACATTGAGTGTCTCCGAAATTAGAAGTGAGGAGCCCTCCCAAATAGTGTCCCTTGAGTCAGGTTACTCCCTCTCCACCTGACCAAGAACAGGCTTAAAACCCTTTCTTCCCAAAGGAAATTGAACAAAACATGATAGGAATTTTTTGCTGAGAGCCAAATAAAGGAGTACAGAATCTAACTATATCTGTTTTGAACTGTGTTTGCTGCATAGTTTAATGGAAACTCTTCTCACCTTCCCACTGACAGAACAATACCTAAAGATCAGTAATAAAATTGTCTTGAACAAGTCAAGTAAATATTTTTAAAATAAATGGAAACAAAATAATCAGTGAAAGAATAACAGCTACTCCATACCATCCTTCTCACTTGGATCCTTGTTACTAACTCTTCTCATAGAAAAAAACTGAATATTCTGGTATTTTAGACACTGTAGGTATTTTAAGAGGACATGTTTGCTAGGATCAAAATTTATCAGTGATTTTCATTACCTTTTTTAAGCCTCAAAATCTTGAAGATCTCTTTGTCTACCCTATACACAAATATCTAAAAAGCTGACATAAATTAATATTAAACCAGGTTAGGGATGTGTAGCTAAAGTCTGTGGTAGCATAAAATTTTCCACTAGTTCTAAGGTTGGCTCTTTTATGGTTGACTTGCTTTTTAAGGTCAGGTAGTTTTGGCAATCAAATCCATGGTAGCAGGTTCAGGACCACGAGTTAAGAGGACTGTTGTTAACAAAATAAATGTTACTATTGTCATTATGGTTTAAAGTCTGGGTGTGACATATGGAAGCTTGATTTTCAGTGAGGTGTATAATGAAGTGAGGAAGACATTTTTACTGTACCTGCCCTGCTTTGAGATCTTCTTAATGTCTGTTTGTTTTTAAACTCTTTCTCAGGATATGGAAACAAAATGAGTTAACGTCAGTAAATGCACTGATGTGTCAGAATTGTGGATTTTATTCATACTTAAAGACTTGCATTGAGGTGGCTTTGTTTCATATTATGTCTTTTTTTTTCTCTTGGCAGTGTTTTAAAAAGTTATGTGCATGCATAATCATATGCAGCACTTTATTGCTTTTTTTTGGCAGTGTACAAGAGCAAAAATTTAATTTGCTCTTTTCCAAAAGTGCATTGTGTTTATGTAATGGATTTGCATCAGTTGCAGTCTGTAACACAGCTAAGTGTTTTAATTGGCAGAACACCCACATCAAGACTTGTTTGTTTTTCTGATAAGGAAAATGCCAGCTAAGTTAGACCATATGTTCTGTTCAAATAAGAAGTGACATATTCACATATAATGGTCATTCTTTAAAAATAAAATTAAAATTAAAAACTAATACAAAATTAATGTGGAAGAGGGGCAAGCGTATGCATAAATTTGAATTTCTGTTAATTTTCATAAAGAGCAAGTATTTTGCTAAGGGAGGCTGGTGAGCTCACATTTTAAGTGCTTGTGATTTATGAGCTGTATGTGTTGATGACCTGAGTTATGTTAAAATTGAAGTGTAAATTGTTTGCTGTTTTTTTTTTTTTTTCCAGAAAGATTTACATGGTCTTTGTTGTCTAATGAATAATTGCCTACTTTCAGAAGGCTTGAAATTCACATACTGTATTGTACTTTAACAATACTTCAAAAATATGTGGAATATGGTAGTAAGATGGGAAGAAAAATAGAAGTTAGAGAGCTCTGTTTAATGGAATACATCCTCTTCAGCTGCCAGTCATGAAGGAGCTTGACAGGCTTCTAGTGCTTCACAGCTGCACAATCTATTTCTGCTTCTTCAGGGGAAATTGGAAAACTTCCACAGTCTTTGCCAGCCTGAGAATCCCGCATTAGGCATCTGCTGTGTTTTTGCTGCAGAAAGGGGACCCTGACATTGCCCAGCTGTCAGAGATGGCATTTGAACTCCTGCTGGTAATATTGGGGGAGTTATTTACTTATGCTCTGATCCTGGTATCTTAGTAGAGAAAAAAAAAAATTAATAGACTTCAGGGTTGTTTTTTTTGTTTCTAGGTAACTTGCAGGAAATACTCAAAGTTGTGTCCTGGCTGAGACCCACCTTTGAGCCAAACATTCTTAATTTCTTAAAGTGCTGATTTTGCTTCAGGATTTTTCTTATTTGTCCACAAGGAGGACGAAGTCTTCATCATAATTGATTTGTATTAACGTCTAACTTCTAGAACAGACCAATACTGATTTTTAAGGACATAACTCATACAGTATATGCTAATATAGGAAAAACTAAATTTTTATTAAAATGTGTGCTCACCAATGAACATTGGCTATTCTCATCAGTGAAAACCATCTTGTTATGGAAAACCTAGTCAGGAATATTGTGTATATGGGATGACAAGTAATAGTAGTTTGATGTGAGAAATCAGAAACTGGATAAGAACCAGCTGTTGATGTGGTTTCTGAGAAACAGAGATTAGTGTGACTTCCTTTAGCTATATGGCAATATGTGGTGTTTTGGCAATGACATGACCAAGAAGACTATAGATTTTCAGCAATACACAGGGAAACAGCTGATAGACATTAACTGCCTGTGTTCCACTGGATGTTATATTTGGTAAGAGAATTTTTTTTTTTTTTTAAATCTTGTGATATTACATTAGGTTCATCTAGATTTTTTAGAATCAAAACCTCTGATGATTTTAGAAAGGAAAAATCCTGATGGCCAGTATTGCCAAGAAGCCAGGAATTTAGAGAATTAATTTAAGATCTGTATCAACTGCACATCATTTTGTAAACCTTCAAAAAACAGAGAGGCTCCAGAGTGATTCCATGAAGAAGGAAGAGGAGAATCATCCAACAGAAAGCTTAGTTTCATAAAAATAAATTATTTGATAATATTTTGGAGATTGACGTAAACTACAGTGGGGCCCCTAAGTAGTACATGCCAGTGAGTTGATCAGTTTATTAATGAAATATTTGAGTATAGTGCAACAGCTGACTGAAAAACTTGGCCTTAAATGTAATGAATTCCATTTTTGGAGAAGAGGTCTAAGATGCAAATCTCACCTTGAAACACATGCATTTTGATAGATAATTGGCAATATAGATTAACTTCATTTAAGACTGGGAATAGTTATTGTGGTGTGGTTGGTTTTCCTGTTTCACATATGTGATATATGTAACTAATTCTGATTGTCATTAAGAATATATGTGGATTTAGAAAACCCTTTCCATTGTTTGTTTTGAGGAGTTTTATCTTCTGACCTGCAGCACCATTATTTCTAGGGAAAAAATTATTTTTAATACCAGTTGTAATTTAATATCGACCTAGATACATTGATATCGTTCTGTTGCAGTAGTGACAGCAGCCTGGTGGCTTTTTCTGGGTTGTTTTCAAAACACGTGTATGTCCATGAGCTTCTGAAGAATTTTTTTATTATATCATTGCCTGTGTATTTAGAATGATTATGCTGTGATCTGGTGCAGAGTCTAAAATGAAGTAACAGCTTGTCTTTTATGTTCTTGAGTCAATCTCCAGTTTTTATTGGCACTTACACTTTTCACTATTTTATTAAGTGAAATCTGTTTCTCTTCTGTCCTGTGCAGAATGTGAAAGATGATGGGCAGCATGTATGGAGATTGAAACACTTCAACAAGCCTGCCTACTGTAATCTTTGTTTGAACATGCTGATCGGAGTAGGCAAGCAAGGTCTCTGCTGTTCTTGTGAGTATGAGCATTTCAGTGTCCATTTGCTTACATGTCAGTTCCTAGAAATGTTGTTCTTGCTGCATAACAAAGAACTGGTAGCATCCTCTCACAAAAGCATTGCCACCACAGTAGTGTCTCCCCATCCTTTTCTCTACTTGAGTGCTCATGGTTCTTTTTTAAATTTTTCAGGATATTTGGCTTTAAAATATTTTGATTGAGGGAATTTTCTGCTTTCGAAGGGTTATCACTGTTAGTTCCTTTTGGAGTCTATTGCTCTTTTTTTTTTTAACTGCTATTGATTTTTTTTTTTCATTAAAGGGTATCAGACATAAGTTTTAACTTTATACTTTTGTTACTCTGCTTTTGTTTTTGCTAATACTTTTACTATAGGTATCAACTTGACAAACATCTATGTCCCGTGTTTTTTGATTTAGATTTTGCACAGAATTGTTTCATTAATTGTGAAGGTGAAAATCCCAGTTTCTCAGAAATCAAGTTTCTGTAACAGCTCTGAAGTTTTGTATAGTCACTTGTTTTGTAGTCATAAATCTCAATCCATGTGTTAACTGATTACAGATTTTAAGAAAAGGGACTTAGAAAAACTACTGCATCTAATTTGACCTTCATTACGCTATTGGGTGCATTTACTACCCTTAAATTCCTTGAGCTGTATCTATGTATTTCTTGATATGTTAATCTGTGTTTGACCAGCTAACATATCTCTTGAGAAACCAGGGCTTGCTGAAAGAGACCTTGTCTCCATTTGAAAGTTTCCAGAAATCGGTGATCTATATCTTTCTTTGGTGGTGTGTTCCAATGATAAATCCTTTTTTTTGTTTGTTTTAAGACCTCTTTTCTGATTTGAATATGTCTTGTAGATGATTCCAATGCTTCGTTCATGTTACGCCCTACTCCATTAGATTAATGAGATCTGTAGTACACAACTGTGTTCTTCTCATGATGGTACCAAGTTACCTTTCATTTTTCTTTTTGGTAAAATAATCTGTTTCTTAGTCTGACTTTCAACATTTTTGGTATGAAAGATAGCCTCTCACAGTTGATGAGGATCTTTCTGCCTGTACAGTTCTATTGATTTAATTTGAGATTAGTCTGAATGAATGAGGGTTTTGAATTGACCATTTCTTCCCTCTGGGGGCCACAAACCTCTCTGAAATCTAATTCTGATGTAAATTCTTGTATGCATTTTCACATCATATAATTTCATTCACCATACTGTGAAACAGGAAAGATATTTTTATTAAAATTCAAACAAATAGAAATTGCATAACTTGAGATTAATAAATGCTAATGACAGTAACTGGAAATATACATAAAATACCGATTTGACTATTAGATCTTGAAACGTTACATTCTTTAATATTCTTTTTTTGTCAGACTGATATTGTGAAGAAATAAGACCCATATATGTTGGAAAGGGTTCTGTTCAGCAAATAATATAGATCACCTTCAGTAGTTATCAGAAATGGGTAGACCAGTTACATAAACTGTCCCAAAAAGACCAGCCTTGTGAGACCTGTAAATTTCTTCTGCTGAAGTGTCTTTTGAGAAGGTATTTATTAGTGTGCTTGGCATTTATTTTGTGAGAACAATGGTCTCAGAGTATCTGAAGAACATGCTCCTTTCAATTGCTTCATGCAGCAAGAGGCATGAGTCTACTTGCAAAACTATTCCACTATTTCCTTATTCAGCTAAGCTTTTTCTCCAGTATATTTTCAAAGCATTGCTATAGATTTCATTATTTGCATTTTAGATTGTGTGGGAGGAAAAAAAAAATAGGGGAGGAACCACAGGGGTCCTCACCATCCCTCCATGGTCCAATCAACAATGTTACTCCCTGCAGTTTGTCTGATTAATGGCTGCGCCTCCCACTGGGTTTGTGTAATAGGTGCAAGCAAGGTGTTTAGAAGTACTTTGTGCTTAATTGCTCTCGAGGTCAAAAGCCTGAGACATATACCATGCAGGGAGAAATTAATTCTCAGTTTTTAATAGTTGACTCTACTGAATGCAGGCATAAGCTGTAGCATTATTTCCTGATCTTGGCACAGTTGTATCATTGAAGACAGGAGAGCTTTGTATTGTACCCTGCATTGTATGTTTTCCAAATGCAGCTAGCGAGATCTTTACAGACCTTGTGAGCAATGCCAGTTACCTAAAGCTGGTGTTGAAGGACTTAAGGGGAAAAAAAAGGGTCTCGGGAGTTGGTATTTTGTAAAACAAGAGTCAAAGTTATGGTGATTACATGAAATGCGTGAAAACAATTGCTATTCAAAAATGGACTAATCAGCCATTTCTGATTTGTAAATCAGTGGTAGGAACAACAAATTCTTTGGCTTTTATTTTTGTGCTTGCCAGCTGCTCTCATGCCTATAGTTCATAAAATAGATACATCTTCCTACTACCAAATGACACAAAACCATTTGGCAGTCACCAATTTGTCTTTAATATTTTTGTCATTTGGGAATTATTGTGAAAAAATTTAGTAAGGTCTGATTTAATTAAGCATTTCCTGTTATGCAATGATAGTGCATTCTTGGATTTCTCACTTGCATAATATTTCCTGTTCTAATTGGCCTTTTGTGTTCCATGGAAAAAGCAGTCTAGTTTGAGTTTTCATTGACTGATTGGATTGATTATTTAGAGATGACATGCTGGTAATGTTGTTTCATAGAAATGTAGTCAGAAACAGCATTGCCTCAACATCTAATAACATTGTGTCTTTTTTTCAGTTTGCAAGTATACAGTCCATGAACGCTGTGTCTCCAGAGCTCCTGCATCTTGCATCAAAACATATGTGAAGTCTAAAAAGAATACTGATGTAAGTTTGGGGTAGCATATAACTTTGTCACGTACCTGTTAATTTAGTAACTCTGTGTATATCCACATTTTTCTTTTGCAGGTAATGCACCATTTTTGGGTAGAAGGAAACTGTCCAACAAAATGCGATAAGTGTCACAAAACTATAAAGTGTTACCAAGGCTTGACTGGACTTCACTGTGTTTGGTGTCAGATTACAGTGAGTATACTATAGTAAAACCTTTCACACAGGTTTGAGAGATAAAAATTGAATGTCTTTCTTTAGCCTCATAATCTGGAACGTCTCATTCGATGTAGTCTTTAGCAATGACTAGTGTGTATTCAAGGAATGGTATATGCAGAATATTCCTAGGAGTTCTTAACTGTGGCAATCAATATGCTTATTTCATGTCATGAAATGCTTATTTCAGTATGTCATGAAGCAAATTTTCTTCATGGTAGTATCCATATGAAAACGATGTGTGCCACTAAAGAGCAGAATTCCTAATCTACGTACACTACAGAAAGATTACGAAAGGGTTTTCAGTACCAGGAAAAATCAAGGTCACTGTGACACTAGGTCTAATTGGTGATGTACTGACAGACACATGAATTTGAGGACATCTGATAGGATGCACTGATTCCAAGTGTCTGGGAATAATAGCAGAGACAAGTTGATAATATACTAATCTGTGCACCAAGTCAGATATATACAACTTCTGTGCACTCCTTATTCAGCAGGAACCAGTAACTGGAACTAATGACATTCAGGGAACACTGCCCTTATAAGTGAGATCTTCATGCTAGAAGGAGCAATGCCAGTATTTCTGTTTCTAGCCAGGGTAGGATTTAAATCTAAATGGGGAGAGATTTCAGCCTTCTTCACATGTATTTGCTGGTTTTGCTGATATCATTATTATTATTGTTACGGAACAGCAGTTGTTTGTTCAGTGCTTTAAATAATAATATGAGACTGAGGCATTAGTGAATGTTTGTTTTAAACATACAAGTTTGGATGTTTTATGACATATTTTTTTAACACAAGAATACAAAATATGAAGCATCATCAAAGAAAATAGATCCAGGATGCTTTCAGTGATAAGCTGTTATGATTACTTAAAAAACAATATTTTAGAAGAAAGCAAATATGTAGTCCAGATTGCTGTCAAAAATTGGATAATTTATGTAAAGAGTAAAACTCCCAGTCCAAAATGTTTTGCATGTAGATAATTAAACTTAGGCAATGGCTATATGTGTTTAGCATGAAGAACTAGGGTGTTTTGCTGTAGATATAGAAGTGTTTACATCTGTATAATATGTATATATCTTTCAAGAAATATATATTGTATAACATATATTGACTTCTAAAGTCAAAAGAAGTTATGAAAATTCTGTCTCTCCTCAGTAAAAAATATTTTCCACATTAGTTCATGTGGATCTGGACCAGATTTGTAAAGGTCTTTTACTCCTTGAAGTTGTACGTCAAGATTCAGAGGATTTTCATGAGAACAGTTATTCACTGAAGAAGTACTGAGGAATTATTTATAGTTGAAATCACTCTTGAGAAAAATGCTAAATTCTTTAGAATTTTTTATCTTGGATGCTTGTGTGCTTATTTAAATGTCTAAATAACTGTCAAGGTTCCAATTAAAAATGGGTATGTGTTTTTTGACAGCTGAAATTGAAAATGCTGGCATTAAGGTTTACAATTCTTCAGTTTATTTTCATCAGTATTTTAAAGGCTTTCTTAAAAGTAATTTTGTATTTTCAAATTCATTTAATATTTTATTTCTTTTTACAGATTCAGATGAATGTGTATCTGTAAATACTGCAAATTATATTTCAGACTCCTATTCGCTTGCAGCACTCTGCATTTGGTATATTCTATTGCAATAATTTCATTTTCTAATAGTAATACCTTTATTACAGAAAAAAAAGTGGTTTGAATTTCTAACAGATGCATGATTTTTGATTATTTATTCAAATAACTGATTCAAGTCCCAAAATTTAGAGGTGTTTTTCACTAAAGGAGGCTTGTTATACTGACTTCTCTGCCAAATCCATGATCCTTCTTCCATATAATTTGTAGTTCTCCACCATGGTCGTGTTAATTTTTCTCCCTTCATCTTCTCTCCAGCAAATACACTTTTTCCTGCTTTGCAGGTTTTTCAGGGAGGTAATATTTTACAAGGGATAGGTTTAGGATAAGGGAGTTTTTGGGAAATGTATTTAAAACCTGCTAAAATGCATTTTTTTTAAGAGGCATGCATATTATTTTATTTCTTTGTGTCAAAGTGTTATTTTCATTAAAGCTACATTTCTTCTACCCTTTGTTACTTGCTATGTGCCAATTCTGTTGTCAGAGATCAGCAGAGACTAATAAGAAGATTAAGCTATTTTTTCATAGATAAGTTTGCATGCCACTGAGTAGCAAAGCTGCTAATTACCACTGAATGTGTGAAGATACTTTTATTTGATGTAACATGGCCTGGTGTGCATTAATTATGGTACAAGTAGCCTTACCACTGAGGCAGAGAATTAGCATGACAAATGATTCCGATTACAGGGCTACCAAAATACCCCCACAATAAGGCTTTAATACTCAGAGTAAATCAAAACTCTTTAGACTTTTATTTTCTGTTGCTAAGTAACTGCCTAAAAAGGTAACTTAGCAGTGTAAATGAATATGGACAAGGTGCCATTAGGTGCCATTCAGTTCAAAATTCAGAAATGTCATGTCGAAAGTAACTGTTCCAGATAATTTTATGAAGACCATATTACCAGTAAAGTTTATATACATCAGCAATTGGTACAGTTTTATTGTAATTTTGATAGCGTTCATGTGAGTTAAACCATTTAAGGGAAAATGAGTCAGTCATTGAAAAAATGTGATTTGCAGATGCAGGCACTGAACTACAGATTTTGTAATAGCTTTTGAACATGTTGAACTAATGCTGTATGCTAGCAGTTATACTAGATAAATCACTTGTTAATAAGATTTTTACCTCACAACTCCTGATATTTTTTAGCCTGATTATTTTTCTTTACTGTAAATGTGCATATCTTTTCAAAAATGTTCATCTCTATGGGAAATGGATGCTATCTGAACACCTTAATGCATTTTATTGAATCTACACAGAAATAAAAACGCAGAATAATTTCGATTGGAAAAGACCTTTGCAATCATCAAGTCCAGAAGAACAAACTTTCACAAAATTTTACAATATTAGTTTTATTTTATTCTGACTAGCTCTAATGATATTGCGAAATATACCAATTAAATGTGAATGCTTTGCATGATCCAAGCACACAACTGTGCCTTTGTACTGCGTGGCTGAATATTTAGTCATTTGAATTGAGTTAAATTCTAAATTATGAACAAGAACTCCTGATTGGTAATGCAAAGTATTTCATAATTTATCATTACTTGTTGCCGTTCTGTGTTCCTGTTATATGCACATTTGTCCATTCAACCTCTGTAACAAAATGAAAGTCAGCGAATGCTGTTAGTGTCAGCAAACTTGAGGATATTCTTTTCATGCTTTCAGAGTAGAACTATTGTCATTGCTTTCAAGAAAACTGGATGAATTCTAGGCATAAATTAGAAAAAGAAGAACAGTTCCAGTTCCTCAGCAGTCAATGGAAGCCTGAAAACTGATTCAATCAAGACAAAATTTACCCAATGAAGCTTAATGTAGAATATTCCTGTGTTCTTCTCTTGTATTTGAATCTGTAGTGGCTATCAGCTGTCAGGAAGGAAGCACGGTTACACCAATAGTGCCAAAAGCTGCTTTGAATTACTCACTAGTAGTAGAACAGAAGTTCCTGACTCAATGCAAGAAGCCCTCTTCTGATATGAAGCTTTTGGTCAGCAGTAACAGTATGCTGATGTTACTGTACTGCTGTGCAACATTCTTAGTTTGTGTGCCGATCCACACATATAGCTTCCAAACTGAAAAATACTTTAATCCATCGTTTTTCACTTCAGTAGAAATCTGTTAGTTTTGTCCATCCTAGAGAGCTTTCCACTACAGTGTGTTTTATTTTCCTTACAGCACTTCAGTAATAAATAGGTTAATGAAATTCACTCCCTTCTAGAATGCCCATTTTCTTATCTGTAATAGTAAAATGTCTAAATTGAATCTTCATTTTCTGTCTTTATATAGTTGCATAACAAGTGTGCTTCACATCTGAAACCTGAATGTGACTGTGGACCTTTGAAGGACCATATTTTACCACCCACATCAATCTGCCCAGTAGTATTGGTGAGTTGTCTGTATGTTAATCTCAGATGTAATTTTCTCTCATATGCAGCATTAAAATGCTTCTGGGACTGACTGCCAGGTATCTGCTAATTTACAGGACTATGTGAACCTTAAACACAATGTGAAATCCTGGCTGATGGGTTTATAGGCATAAGTGTGTTTTACCCTCTGCATATTGCATTTTCCTTCATGTGAGAATGAACCTTCTGTGGGGCATATTATAACTGAAGCTGACTCAGGTTTTATCACTTATTCAGACTGTACTTACCAGAAACTGTATAGGCAGAACACTTCTACATTTTACATCTTTTATAGATCCAACTTCCCAGAATAATGAAGTTATTCTTATGGGCAGTTTTTGCTTGGGATGCATATTGTATATCTGCAATGCTGAGGTCTCTGATCTAAGCCGGAGGTTACCTAGAATGATGACACTGGTCTTGCAGTAAGCTATGCATCAACATTATGGTATATTTTATTCTGCAGTCGTGGACAGTAAATTTCTCTGTCCACAAAAACAATAACTCAATTCAGTGAAAATAAAAATGCATGCTATGTGTAGGTTGTATAGAAAAGAGCTGACTGTTTTACCATTAAAAAAGAGCTTGAGAATTAACTTATGTATTCACATATTAAATTGGATATTTTATGCTGATGAAAGTCATAGCATCATCATATTCATAAGAGAACAGATGAGTGGTCCTCTTTAAATATATTTCCTAAGTGTAAGAAATGCTTTAACTTAAGAAAGTGTAATGTGTTGAGGGGAGATGGAAAAAGAAAATACACATCCTAATCAAACCAGTTGCTGATCATTAGGAATAATCTTTGTGTCTATTGTTAATTGTTTTCTACTGAATCTTTCTGGCTGTTTGTTTATAAATATGTTAAGGAGGAGATGCTGGCTTTTGGCCCTCTGCATGTGTAAAGTGAGATTATTCCATCTCAATGAAATGTCATTTCATCTCAATGAAATAATCCAATGGAAGCATTTAATATTTTTGAAAAAATTTAAAATTTTTAAAGTCACAAGAATTGCTTTGTAGTTTATTTCTGTGGTATTTTGGTATTATCTGGACAAGTTCTGATTAATAGTTACAAAATACTATTTTAATGATTGCATTCTGTATCACCTTATTTAATTTTCAGGATGTGAGGTCATACTTTAAAAGTTTGCATCTGGAAATTATGATTCTGATATTGGGCTGTTATTTTCTTTTTAATGTTATTTATCATTTGCCATTGGTATAAACGGAATGAATCTTCAGCATGAAATTTTATCTTCAGTTATATTGGCATAACTACATTTTCTTTTCAGGAGAGGAAGAGGAATAGAGGAATTAAGATTTTTATTCCACAATTGGAGTTTAGTTAAGTTGTTTAGAGGATATGTAGAACCACTCTAGAGTCAAATCACCCTTGAATAGTTTTGTTTTATCTCCAAATTTTCAAGGCATAAGCAGAAGTAAATATTGTTTTCCTGTTTTGTAATCATGTTACTAACAAAGCAACGCAAGACATGTATTTCAGCACAATTGATATTGCTCGGAATGGAAAATATATTTTACCATGATTTAATGGGGACTTCATAATTTTTTAGTATATTTTTTAATCTTGTAGTTTCTTAAAAAAATGCATAAAAATCCTGAGTTCGGTTATGTTACAAGTACTACCTCGCTGACTTAGCTAATAGCAATTTCTTCTGAAAGTGGTTGATTATAGTGTACCTATGATTTGAGTTAGTAATTTTTTAATTAATGTCTCCCATTTGCTGTTAACGGAGATTCCTTTTGAGAAGCATAATACTTCAGTGTATGTGAGACCAGCATTCTCAATAATGACAGCAAAGCTAATGAATATATTCTTGTGAAAACTGTCTAACCATGCAATAGGAAGTGTGATTACATGTTCAGACATAGAAATCTGACAATGGAAGGGTCCTTCACCCAGGTCAACATTTAACTTCAGTTATCAGCTAAGCATTCGTATTCTTTCAATGCTGTGTATACGTGGAAGGTAAATAAAAGCAGATGACCATAATGCTTGCTGTACCAGACATATCCTTGAGTATTTTGAGGTGTCAGAGAATAATGTATTTTCTTCTCCCATAGAATATAAGGAAAATAGCAAGATTAAAAATACTTTATCTTTGATCTCCTAAAAATGTTGGCCCTCCCTTCCAACTGTAACTTTGGATGTCCAGATTTCTTTCAGAAAACTGCAGTATTCATCTCAGAACAAGATGCCTTCTCCTAAGTTTCCCTTCAAGGGTACAGGGTAAATCCCTTCTCATCTTTTCACTTTTGCAGAACTAGGGACATTCATGTTTTTTCCTTTTCCATCCAACATTTCTCATGTCTCACTTTTTTTGAGGTCCAGCCTCAACAATTTCTACACAGTTAAAGGACTTTTTCATACATTGCATTTCACTGCACTATGTTTTATACCAGTGCTACCAAAATGATCTCAACTGAGTGATTCTTAGTGGCTGGAGAGAGAACCAAAATGCCTTGTCATGTGGAAGTTAGATGGCTGGTCTAAGTTAACTAAGAGTCCTCCCATATTCAAAACTGCACAAAAATAGAGGTTGTCAAATGTTATTCTTAAATATGATAAGCTACATTGTCAGCTGAAAAAACTGATGGGGAAACTCATGTAGTTGATGCTGTGTACATCATGAAAACATCATATATCTGTCTAGGTTCAATGTCTTATTAAGATTTTTCATATCTCACTGCTTCAATTTTAAATGTTTTAGTAAAATATAGTCTGTCAACTTTAGTCCTTTTTACTTTTCTGTTTACGCTGTATAGGACTTGTTGTATGGTGAAGTTTTTTGTTCAAGTTAAATGAGTTTTGTTATAAACTGTGTGCAGATCTCAAGTGATAGTCTTTTAATAGATGTCAGATACACTTTAATGTTACTCTCTTTTATTTCAGTAACATTTTAATTAATTCATACTGATTGAATAAATGTACATTGAGACTTGTTTCCTAATGAGGGCACATTTAGAGGAAAGGTTTTGCATCATTCTGATATCCTGTGGGTAATTATATTCTAATTATGTGGTGGGGGGGGAAAAGTCTATAACTCAGTACTGATATTGTTCATTGGACCCAATTAATTACATGCATATAATGAAAGTTCATGATAAGGTTGACTGGCAGTGAGTTTAAAAATCTTTAACTCAATTGAATCCTAGCCTACCAGGAGTACAGAATTAGATCATAACCAGGTTTAAAACTGGGTATTGGAATGAGATGAGTGAGTAGTGAAGAAAACAAGATTGGTCTCTGCTTATGAGACAGTTTCCCTCACCATGTCCTTTTATAAGGCAGAAAGGGAAAAATGCTAGCTTACATTTTGTCTTCATTTCATGCCTTCCTTTACTTTGCCCCATTTACTGATGAACATATAGGATGTTCTAATTTTTATTTATATCTGTAGAAAAGTAATTAGATTTTCAATTTCCCACCAAAATAGATACAGCCCTGGATAGTGACCAACAAACCAATAAAAGGTTACTATTTAATAAATAATAATGTGTATTTATTTCATAATGCATGATGATTTTGATTCTGTGGTATATGTGAGTTTTACAATGAATTTTTTTCACTTAATTTCTAGCATTATTTTTAAAAAATATAATTCAAACTTCTAATTGTGGAATAAAAATAAAGTTAAGGGATAAATTGTAAAATATGAGGTACCCTGCTTGCAATGTGAGCATTACTATATGGCAAGTATCACTGTCCCCATAATAACCAGTTTATTTCAAAGGTGAAGGATCTGGTATAATATTGAAGGTAAGGAAAGAAAAAATAAAATTTTAAACTGGGTACACTTCTTTGTGTTTTCATATCCAACTTCATTGTTTTGCATTATGTGAAAAATAGGTCATCAGGATAAAAAGTTTGAAACAATTTCCATTTTGTTTTTTTTCTCTGGTGAATGAATTTGACGTTTGTTTTGGGTAGTGAAGATGTTATAACGTTTTAGGACAAAGTCATGTAAGCATAAATACAATTTGTGTAAATATGGACTATATATACAGAGATAAATTGATATATATAAAATATGTATAATTTTTTTTACGTCATAGTATACATCTGTTTATATACACTAATACAAAATACCATCATAAGTCGAACTCATTGACCTCTTGTTTTAAAATATAAATGGCTCTATAGTTTGGAGGAGGAAACTGATATAGCTGATTCCTTTGGCATTTTGTTATACAAAACCATAATGTTCAAAAATCTTTTGTTTATGATTAGTTCTATTTAGTCATGTGAAACAATATACACAGCAGATTAAAAATGTTTGAGATAGGAAATATGCCTTATTCAACTGAACAATATGCATTGCAATCTATAGCTTCAAACTTTTGTGTAAATATAGCAAACGTATTGACATTCTGGAAAAAAAACATACAAAATTAAAGTTGAAAATACTGTTCAAGAATTTTCTTTCACTGTCAGTATTTAGACTAGATAGAATAGCTATTGACTATGTTATAATTGCAACATAGTTCCATAGCTATTTTTTCCATGTCTAGTAATATGTTTTACTAATACTATTTTGCTGTGAGGTATGTAGATGTTATTCACATAGGAAAGCAGAGTTGTAGAGATTGAGAAAGGGAATTAGCAGTGCCTGGTTGGAAGATGAGCATTCTTAATCCCCTTTCCAGTTATTAATCCTAAAATGATTCTTCTGCTTTTATAGTAGTAGAGATCAGTTTTACCTCAGTTGAATCCAAGCTCAACATGGAGCACAGAAAGTCAGTGAAATGTAAGCATTTTATGAGCAACTCAATCCTTTGAAGTTGAGTACTAGCCTTATCATGTGTTTCTGAACAAAGACACTATAAAAAAAAGTTATTTGAATATATATGCTTGGGGGGGCAGTTGAATTTAGATCTGGTTGTTGAATATTAAGTAATAACATAGCAAATGAAAGAGATTTAAAAAAACAAAACAAACCACTTTTTTGCTTT